TCATTTTTTTTTTTTTTTTTTTTGTATAATCAACATGTAACAAATTATATACGAACAACACGCACGATTTTTCCCCCCATTTTTTTAAATAATAATAATAATAATAATTACGGGAATTTTTAAAGGGGGTAATAAAAAAATTATTTTAAAAACGAACTGTTAATTAAAGACTCTACTACAATTTTCCATTTTTTTTTCGTTTTGTTTCGGTTTTTTTTTTTTTTTTAAATATTCTTCGTAAGGATAATAATAATGATAATAATAATAATAATAATAATATTTCTTATTGATTTAAAAAAAAAAAAACGGTTTATTACCCAAATAAATATTTATTTTTTTATAATTTATTACTAACCTATCGAATGAGGGGGGAAAAAAATTTGAAAAAAGGTAACAAAAATTATTTTTTATTTAAAAAAATGACGTTTACGATACACTAAAAAAAAATATAAAGAAAAAACTTAAATATTAAAATCAGGTTTCGCTAATAATAATAATAATAATAATAATAATATTGGAAAAAAAAACGAACAGAAGAAAAAAAAAGAAAAAAAACTTTTGTGGTAAAACGATAATAAAATATTATTATTATTTGTTTTTTTTTTTTAAATGTAAATTTATTCCTGTTATTTTTTGTTTAAACAAATAAACTGTAATAATAATAATAATAATAATAATATTAATTTAAATAATATACGACTTTGTAAATATAAATAAAAATATTGATTTTTTTTTTTTTTCATTTCCAGGTGATCTATACCATGAGCCTGAATTTTACGAAGTGAACAAGGTACTAATTTATTATAATTATTTACCTTAATTATTGAAATAAAGCAAATAATAATAATAATGATACTATTTTTTCCCCATTAATAAATTAAACCTTTTTTTATTTTAATAAATCGACAACAACAAAAAAATTTTTTTTTTTTTTTTTTTTTAATAACGTTACGACGATTTAAATTAAATTAAATTAAATTTTATTATTATTATTATTATTAAAGAAGAAAACTTTAATCAAAAAAGTTATTGAGAAAGAAAGAGAGAGAAAGAGAGAGAGGGGAAAACTCGCAATAAAGTTTATTTTTTTATTTATTTTTTTTCAATTAATATTTTTTATTATTTTATTATTATTTTTTTTTAAATGTTACGTAGTAGTCGCCATATTGTAATTTTTTTTTTTTTTCATAATTCAAACGTGAAATTTAAATTTTGCGTGGTCGTTTCAAATTAAAAAGATAAAAATTATTTTATGGCGCCAAGTCTCACTACGTTCAATATGATATTTTTTATGTTTGATAGAATCAAACATAAAAAAAATGGCTACTTCTTATGTTTCTTCAACCTTCTTTTTACATAAACATAAAATTTAACACTCGTTTTGACGCCATTTTTCTTTTTCTTTTTTTTTAAACAAATATAAATTTTTATACGTTTTACTTTTATTATTATTATTATTATTATTATTATTATTATTATTTCGAGGGATAAATTTTTTAGAGATTCGATCGATCGATTTTTTTTTCTATATGACTTTAGCTCGTCTCCCTCTTTGTGTATATTTTTACCATCTGATATTAAAATATTTAAAACAATTGAAATCTCTCTCTCTCTTTTTATTTCTCTCTCTCTTTCCCTCTTTTATTTCATAGTCATTTAGACTTTATTAACGCCAGAAAAAAAAAAAAAAAAAAAATTATTCTTTTTAAAAAGACGTTAACCCGAATAAAAAATAATTTGACGTATAAAAAAAGGGGCGTTAATTTTTTTTTTCTTTAACTAATAATAATAATTATTATCATTATTATTACTCCGTTACTGTATATTTAGCATATGTGCCACACACGCAATGGATCTTATACAAAAAAAACTTCGGACTACATAATACTCGAATTCCATTTTACAAAAATAAATAAATAAAATTCAATTAATTAATTAATTTTTTTTTTTTTCTCATGAAGAATGCTTCTTTTTAAAAATGCCGCCGACGACGATGATGACGACATTCATCTCGACATTAATATCATTATTATTATTAATTAAAAAAAAAAACTAATTCGAAAAATACTTTATTTGATTTTAATAATAATAAAGTTATTAATTAACAATTATTTAAACAAAAAATTGAATTACCATTATTTAAATAATTAAAAACTTCACGAAAATAATAATAATAATAAACTAACGGAAGTAAATTTTCAAAAAAAATTTATTATAGAAATGAAAGTAAATACATTTTTATTGCCCTTGAAAGAGATTAAATATGACAGCGAGATTCCTTTTACGTTTGTTTTTTAATCAGCATCACAAAGGACCAAAAAAAAAAATTAACCCAATACTATTTGAATTTTTTTTTTCCGCGTTTGTTTTTTAAATTTAAATAGATTAAAATCTATAATTTAATGATAAGTTATAATAAATTATTATTATTATCATCACAAATTTAAACCCTTTTACCGCGAGGAGATAAAAAGAAAGTTTTAAGTAAAAGTTTTAATTTTTCTATTGTCATTAATCTTTCATTCGATTTATCATTTTTTTATGTAATTTACAATTCTATAATTAATCAATTTATGTTAAGATTAATCGGAAACGAGTTCTTTATTCCTTTCAAAATAATTATTTAGATATTTTATCTTACGTCATTGTCAAATACGTGAATTATTACCGTGGTAATAAAAAAAATAATTAATTTTTTTCTACTATCGTAATTACTTAAAATGGACATTCGTTATCATAAAACCAAAACCAAAACCAATAAAATTTATTAACCGTTAACAGTTCGATAATTATTTTATTATTATTAAGTATTACGTAATAATTAATTGATTTTTTTTTCCCCATTTAATTTTCCCGCCTTTTTTTCTCTTAATTTTTTATTTTAAAGTTGGAAATTTTTTAAAATTTATGCAATTAATAACTAATAACTACTAAAATTAATAACTAATTACTAATAATAATATTATTAATGCATGTAAGCTACTTGTGTAATTAATTTTATTATTATTATTATTATTAAATAAATTAATTAATTAAATTAAACCCACGCACGAATTTTTATTTTTAATTAAATCGATAAATCCGTAAACGAATAAATTTTGACGTAACGCAAATAAGTGAAAAAAAAATTAAACTTATTTATTATTATCATTATCATTATTATTATTATTATGGTCACTCTTAAACACGACAAGGTTCTTATTTGTCGGGGTTTTTAAGCATTTATTCCAGGTTTCTACCCGATAGGATTCCTTAGGGATAAATGCTCGAATTTCGTTGGTGATAAAATTTTCCGAAGAATGTGGGCCGTCACACATAGTGCGATTATTATTATTACTATTATTATTATCATTATTATTATTATTATTATTATTATTATCATTATTATTATTCATTCATTCATTCATTCATTCATTCATTAAAATCAAAACGAAACGAAACAAAAACTAACTTTAAAAAAAAGAAGTAAAAACCGTGCGAAAAAATTACAAAAAAAAAAAAAAAAGAAAAAATCAAACGAGAAATTAATTACTATTAAAAATGTCTGCTGCATTTTCTCTCTGATATTATTAAATCGATAAACTCAAATACACGTCAATCTGTCATCATTTTATCGATCCGATTAAAACGATTTATTAAAAAATAAATCAATATCTCCAATAGGAGGGGAAAAAAAAATTTTCACGGTCAAAATACATAAAAAACAATTAGTAGAGTAGTCATGTTTAATTGTTTCCCTCCCTCCCTCCCTCCACCCCTCCCCTCCCACCCGGATAAGAAACGCATTTCATCATTTTTAAATAATAATAATAATTTTTATTTTATTTTTTTACGCATAGTTAAAAATGAGATTTTTTATTTGTTAACGTTAAATTTCCTTTTTATTTCACAGTCTGATAACGGATTAAATTATTTATAAATTAAATTTCAATTTAAATAAATAAATGAATAAATTTGTAAAAGTTTAGAAAGTTTTTTTTTTTTTTTATTTAAATAAGTATTATGTCGATTGTGGTAAAACAATGATAAGCCTTAATTGTAATGGATTTTAAATTTGTGTCGGTTGTAATGGTGGTGGTATTGATATGAATTTTTAAACTTAACCACGTCAAAATAATAATAGAATAAGTTTATAATAAATCTGCATACATTATTATTATTATTATTATTATTATAGTTTTCTCTATAATAGAATAAACAATGGAAAATATATTCATGTGGAAATTTCATTACCGATTGTTATTTACCGAAAGTTTATAATACTTTCTCATTGTTTCTTTTTTGTCTCGTTGAAGAAAAACAATCGATAAAAATTATTATTATTATTATTATTACGCAGCGAATTTTTATAGTTTATGATAAAAAAAAGAAAAGAAATTGGTTTGATTTACGTAGTCAGTTAATTTTTTAATGTTTTCCTTTCGTTTAAGGAAAATCACTTTTTAATAAATAAAATTTTTTTATGTAAAAAGTTTTAACGTAAGTCTAACCTCTTAAACAACAACAACAACAACCACAACCACAACAACCTACATCGATTTTAATAATTTACTCGTATCTCAACAACGTAGGTGCCACAGAATGGCGCCCACACACACACACACAATCCGAGAATGCTTTCTTTAATATTTGAAAGGAAACGACGAATAATTTTCAGGTTTTGCCGCGCCTCGACCAGTTTTTTAGCCTTTTCATAACATTTTCAAATTTTTTTTATTTTACAGCTATCGAATGAATTATTTCTATTTTTGTTTGCGTATTTATTTTTTTATTATATTATTTAATGACACGTTTTAACCATTTTAGGGAACTATGATTTTATTAAAAAAAAAAAAAAAAAAAAAAACTTGTTATATAAAGTAGAATTATTTAAGATAAATTATTTTCCCTATTACTATCTCTCTCTCTCTCTCTTTAAATATTAAGAGATCAAAATCCAACAACAACAAACAAACAAACAAACAAATGTTTGTGTGTTGTGAATTTTTTTTTTGTAATATATGCAAAAGAGTTTATTGTACGAATCAGATATTGTTCAAGGTTTCTTTTTTTTTTTTTTTTTTTCAAAATGCCATTCGCAGTTCTGCTTCGTTTGGTTTTAATGGGAGGCCTTATAAATTCTGTTTCCGAAGGCTCTCAATGGAAATGTCCGGAATTTAACGACACGAAAATTTCATGCTTATGCGATTTTCCACAAACTCTTAGATGTTGCACGGATTTAATACTTTTAAAACAAATCAGAAACAAATTATTAACTTTGACGAATCCCGACGAATCCGTATCCCTTTTAGATTGCACCCTTCGAAATGTGACCCATTTGTCGGAACCTATTTTACAGGGAGTACCTTTGCACGGTTTGGTTTTAACGTCGGGTGAATTGAAAAACGTATCGAAACGTGCTTTTAGCCAATTGTCCGGTAGCGTTCAAGCTTTGGGCCTTCCAAATAATAAATTGGAAACCGTACCCGGAGAAGCTTTAAAAGTTCTTAAACAATTAGAAAGATTAGATTTATCGTATAATAAATTATCCGACATAAATTTTCAATCATTTGTTAATTTGATAAATTTAAAATATTTAGATTTAAGCAATAATCGTATTGTAAATATATCTTTCGATGCGTTTTCCCAAATGAAAAATTTGACTGTAATTAAATTGAATAAAAATCGTTTGATGATTTCCACAATATCAGCTTTAACCAAAATAAATAAACTCGAAGAATTAGATTTAAGTACAAATGAATTGAGCGGTCCGTTGGAATCCGAGACGCTTCCTAACATGCCCGCACTTAAAACATTATCCTTAGCCAACAATCAATTCAGTAGCATTAATCAGGGAGCAATAAAAGGCGTTCCCAACCTGGTGAGCCTATCTTTAAGCCATAACCAAATCGACGTTTTGGAAGATCACGCGTTCAAAGAACTTTCGTCTCTTCGTAGTCTTTATTTAGGAAGCAATAGAATAGTCGCCATATCTAGTTCATCATTAGCTCATTTAAATCAACTCGCGGAATTGGATTTGTCTCATAATTTTCTCAGAGCCATGACACCGGATATAATTTCACCGTTAAATAATTTACGCGTGTTAAGACTGGATGATAATGATATATCGATGGTCGAACCGGACACTTTTCGACAGAATACAAGTCTAGAACATTTAACTTTGTCCGACAATCCGTTAAATTGTGATTGTAATTTAGTTGATTTTTCAATTTGGTTAAACAATGTGAGCAAACTCAGTGTGGCAGACAAAAATACCGCCATTTGCATGACACCTCTTCATTTGGAAAACGCCTTAGTCGTCGAAATACCAACGAAAGAATTGAGGTGTGAAGAAGACGATTACGATTTGCTAATGCAAGAGGGACCCTCCGCGGCCCATGTTTCAGAATCAAAAATAATACTAAGAGCTTTTAATTTTAACGGTTTCAACATTACCCTACTTTGGAGTATCGACACAAAAGCAAAATCTTTTTCCTGCGACGCATTGTTCGTGTACGAAGAAATGTCTTCTCATGAAATTTTACTCATGTCGACACCGTTAAAATGCAATTCGTCTCAAATGGCGGATCCGACTACGTTAATTGTACGATTAAATTTGGGATCGATGCAACCCTTTCACAGATATCGTTTTTGCATAGTCCTTTTAGAAGACAATAAATTCACGGACGAAATGCAATTGGTTTTAGGATGTAGCGAGATAATACCTTTGATCGCGACCAATCATTCGATACCACAATCTTCGAACCCAAGCCTACCGGTGAAAATATCATCCCTTCGAGCAAACATATCTCAAGACAAACTTTTCGTTTCCGTCGAAATATGGAACCCGAAAAAAATTATAGATAATAAATGTCAAGTTACCTTAACTGTATTTTCAATGGGCTCTCTCGTGGCTCAACATAGTTTGAATTGTACAAATCCGAAAATTTCAATGTCGGGATTATCTTCGGGAAACTACCACGTGTGCGCTTCTTTGGATCACGTGTCCCCGCCGGAAAGACTACAATGCGTGACAGTGAAAAATCAAATTAAATCAGAAACAACAACAACAACAACAACACTTTGGATTACTTTATGTTTAATATTAATGAGTACCTTAGGTTTTATCGTTTTCTATTTCGTTTATCGAAAAATAATAAGAAAATCAAGAATAAAAACTGCACATCAATGTTTTTTGGGTTCGAATGATTTTGACGATCATCAGAAACAACACTCCAAGTATATTAAACTTCAAACTTCTATTAATATATAGTTACCTAAAAAATAATTAATAAATTTAATTATTTTATTAATATAAATAAATAAAAAAAATTATTAATTCAATTAATTTTGTACACA